TACTGACCACTATACTACACACGCCTGGAAAAGCAGGGTATCGATCCCTGTACCTCTCACATGCTAAGCGAGCGCTCTACCATTTAAGCTACTTCCCCTTAATTCATTACGCTCTACTGTGCTTAGCGAGTCGAGATTAGAGGATGGTGACGCCAGGTTAATAAAAAAAACATATTAGTGTTATATCTGAGCTTGTTCAGAGACTTTTTGATAATTTGCGAGGCGTATGCAACGTTCTGTTAGTGAGCCACCGACACCAAATTGAAATTAGCGGTTCACTTGACTTTTTCTTTTCTCGAACATACTTTGAAATAGGTGTGGCGTAGACGATACAATGTCGTGTTGGTATTAGCCGCTAATGTATACTGTTCTCCGGTTGATGTTAATATATTGAGCAGCTATTCGACGGTTGCCAAAAGCCCCAGAATCAGGCATTGTGCACGCCGAAATGCACAGCCTGGCGTTGTATCGGTTTCATTGACGGGAAAGTGATTGCTGGTCTGACATAGGGATCAGGTCGGTTTCAACGACGGATAAACTCTCAGCGTGTGGTCATCCTCCAGCAAAACAGCTCTGACGTCAAAACAGGTCTTTCCTCCATTTCATTTCGGCTCTTCAAACCAACACATTCTACTCGAAGAGCACAGTGTATCTTAATAGTGCATGACAAAAGAGTCGTCAAGATGTCTGCAATGTCGTGATCGAGGATTGAACAAGTCGTCAAACGTCTAAGATCAGGATTGCTTGCAATTACAGCTAACATCAAAACTCCCAGGTGTGAGATGGAATCGTACAGCCAACATCAAAACTCCCAGGTGTGAGATGGAATCGTACAGCTAACATCAAAACTCCCAGGTGTGAGATGGAATCGTATTCCCTGGGTACTAGCCTGCGATTAGCAAAACCCGCTGTATAACTTGGGGAGCCCTTAGCATCTATTCTAACGCTTTATTCGCCCAGTTAAGCTGCCATCCCATCTCTCTATTTTGCAGTTTCTGTATCTGTGTGTATGACACTTCCGTATAAGACCTTGTGTGAGCCAAATGTTTTAAAGTTTGCGTTCGATTTCAATCGGAAGACGTATGCTTGTGCTTCAGATGCGGACTGCGATGAAGACGCTGGCATCCTCATTGTTCACAATGTTGACCCTGGTCAGCCTCTCAAAGCTTTGCAATCTCATTTTATGCAATGTTTTCGACACTTTACGTGCTGCGATTTTCTGAGATAAACGAAGGAACAATTTTTTGCCTGCATGATTATTGACGCTGTTAAGCGTATAGCGGGAAGATTGAGAAGCAACGGATCTTAAGCAAAAACTTAACTCTAACAGTGGTGTACCACACGTGTAAAACGCAAGAACAAACAACACCTTGTATGTACATGAGTTTAAAGTCAGCAACGAAAAATACAAAAAGAGAAAACGAGGCTCGTTGTGACGTGGTCGCCAACTGCTTGCCGTAAAGCAGATGACGATCACGCCAAATTTTACATAAGATCGATTTTTACATGTCTTATCTCAATCCTACATTCCTATTGGATAATATTACCATGCTGGAATAATCAACAACATCATATGGTTGATTTGGAGCGTCAACATCGACGTTGGCAATTGCTCATTGGTTGAAAGTCTACGGATAGGGTTCCGCAGCCGATGGTACGACAAGGAATCAAGTGACAGCCGGAATATTCAAGTTACGTGTAGGAAAAGTAGATTTTTCATTAGTTTAGAAA